TCGCAGTTCATGTTTCTATCTTCCACTTTTATCTGCCATGGTTCTGATGGCACAATGTTTGTTAGCAGACAGTGTATATATATATATAATATATATATAATATATATATATAATATATATATATATATATATATATCCTCAAACAAACCTCCGAAGCGCAACCACCACCTCATTTGCGATTGCACACAAATGCAATCGTACGCTTGTGCGCAAAGCACTCAGCATCGGGTGCGTGGACGTGCGCACACCAATGGACCGGAATTCGCGTGAGCGCCCCGAAGGACGCGCTGCACTTGCCGCGATGGCATTGGCGCCCTACAACATCGATCTTGCGGCGCTCAGTGAGACTCGGCTCACTGAGCAAGTTAACTTACATGAAGCAGCTGCTGGCTACACGTTTTACTTGGTGGGAAAGGCCACCTCAGCACCACGTGAGCATGGGGTCGGATTTGCCATATCCGATCGCCTAAATGGCCAGCTGGTGGATTAGCCGACTGGCATCAGCGCACGACTGATGACTGCTTGCCTACGACTGGGTATAGGTAAGTTTGCCACCTTATAAGCAGGTATGTGCTATCCTGATGACACGCGTAATCAATTCTATACCCAGTTATCCTCCGTGATACGGTCTGTGCCGCGGAGCGACCGACTATTTCTGCTGGGTGATTTCAAAGCGCGCGTTGAGCGTGATGCATCGGTGTGGAAAGATGTCATCGGTCCGCATGGCATTGGTTCAGCGAATGTGGACGGGGACAGGCTGCTCTCACTGTGTGCCACTCACGGCCTGACGATGGACACTCGGTTTGCGCTGAGTGCGAGTGATACTATCAACTTGGACGCACCGACGGAGTGGTCACGCTCACCTGCTCGACTATGTCATCATGCGTCAGCGTGATATGCGTGAAGTGCGCATGGCACGTATACTACGTGGAGCTGCGTGTGCACTGATCACAAATTGGTGCGGACCAAACTGTACATATATTTTCGTAAATCTATGGATTACACTCCCGCTGTGAATCGGCGTAAAATTAACATCCTATCCCTCGATGCTATGGGGAAGGGTATTGATCTGGAGAAGGCGATGATTACACGCCTGTTTGATGGGGAATGGATAGCCACAGTGGGCTACCTGTGACACCACATTCGCGACTAGGTGACAGCTGCTGCCGAGGAGACCATCGAGTGCGCAAACTGTAAGCGGCCTGATTAATTTGATGAGAACCATGCGACGATTGGTGTCGGAGAAGAATGCAGCATTTGCTGCACATGTTGCAGACCCCAGTGACTTGAGGCAGAAGAGTCCGTTTCGCAAACTTCGACTGACCCGAGAGCTCCGTCGTATAAAAAATGCATGGTGGACAGAGAAGGTGAAGCAGATGGAATGCTACGCCGAACGCCGCCAACACAAGGAATTCTTTGACTCCTTGAAGGCAGTGTAGGAACCGACGTTCGAGCCACTGAGGACGTTGCTCAATGGTTGTTCAGGCCCTACCTGCAGGCAGACTGCAGGCATAATGCAGATGTGACAAAAACACTGACTGTCTCTTGAACACCCGTTCAGAGATCGACTGGCCTACATTGAACAGCCTTAAGCTGCACGAGGTGAAGATGAATCTGGCTGATACGCCGACGACGGATGAGATGCAGAGAGCACTTGCTCAGCTGCGAGACGGCAAGCGTGCTATTGCTGACGGGATCCCACCTAAAGTATTGAAAGACGGCAGATTTGCGTTGGTGACTACGCTGCACCATTTGGTGGAACGCGTGTGTATTGAGGAGGAGGTGCCTCCTGAGCTGAGGAATGCCCTTGTGCTACCACTGTACAAGGGCAAAGGGGGCAAGTAATGTTGCACGAATTATCGTGGCATCAACTTGCTGAATTGTGTGGACGAGATGATTTCCCGAATCCTGCTCAACCGCCTCCTTAGTCAGTTTGTGGAACCGAACGTGGCAGAATATCAATATGGATTCCGTTCGGGTTCTAGTACCGTCGATATGCTATTTGCTGCTCGTCAGTTCCAGAAGAAGTGTAGAGCACGACCCCAGCCGTTGTACTCGCTGTTTGTTGCTTATAGCAAGGCATTTGATACGGAGAACCGCGACGCGTTGTGGCTGGTGTTGGGTAAGTTTGGGTGTCCGAGTATGTTTGTAAGCTTAATTGAATGTCTGCACAGTGGTATGCGAGTGAGGATGTAGCTGAGTGGACAGATCTCGGATGACTTAGTAGTTGTCTCTGGTGTGAAGCAAGACTGTATCTTAACTGCTGCCCTGTTCAATATCTATCTTCATGTCATGATGTGCTTTTGATACCGATTGTGCTTACGGTGTTCGTGTAGAGCACCGTATTGATGGTGGGTTACTAAACTTCTGTCGTTTTGGTGCGAGAACCCTAGTCTGTGAGACAACTATCCGTATGCTGCTGTTTGCTGATGACTGTGCGTTGTTTGCGCATAGCGCGAATGAATTGCAGCACATGGCTAGTGCTCTGGCTTCTACAGCGGCCAAATCCGGGCTCAGCACCAATACAAGCAGGACTGTTTGTCTTTTCCAGCCTTCAACGGGAATGGAGTCCGTGGGCCTGCCCGAAATCCAGATTGCCGAGGAAGTGTTGGAAACCACTTCGAGATTTTGCTACCTTGGTAGCATAATAACAACCGATCAGCAGATTGCATGCGAGCTGTGCAGCTGCGTATCGAAGGCGATTGCTGCTTTTGGCAAGTTGGAATGACGTGTTGTTGGCACAAAGCTGCTGGTATATCAGTCTAAGGTGCTGTCCGTTCTTCTATACGACAGAGAAATCTGAACGCTTTATCGGAAGGATGTCCGATGTTTGGAGCCCTTCCATCAGCAGTGTCTGCGCCGCATTATGCGCATCGGCTGGAGTTTCCGAGTTGCAGACACGAAGGTGCTCCGACGCAGTGGCATGTATGCAGTGAACTGAATACTTCTGCTGAGACACCTGAGTTGGAACGGCTATAGATTCGACCCGGACACCGAAACAGCTGCTTTATGACCAACTAAGTGCAGGGAAACTGCACGTGAGAGCCAAAGTTACGGTACCAGGACATGATCAAAATGAGTCTATCACGTTCTAATTTTGGTTGCAGACCATAGGAATCCGGCTGATTTAGTGAGCCACGAGCAAGGCCACTCGGGTCCAGCCTCGAAACAACGACGAGTCCTGCTGAGAACGTAGGCAGAACCGGCGCAGCGTTGGTAGATACACTGCATTCGATTTACTAACCGCGTGCTTATGTGCTGAGTTTCTTTATTTCAGGTGGTTGATTTGCTACCTTGTCTGTGTTATTTTCTTACCTTATTTTAATGTGTATCTGAAGAATCTATTGACTTCTTTTAATAAACTTATTGTGTTTCGAAGCATGGGAATGTGTCCTAGTCGCACAGTTAAACGTTTCTGCACTGAGCATAGCGGTTTCAGGCAGTGCTTTGGTCGGACTAGTTGCCGGACTGATGTTGTGAGGAGCTACTCCGTCTCTTTTGACGTTGTTTTGGCTGGTATTTCTAAACTTAGGACTGACTGGACTACCCATGCTGCTAAGTAGCTCATGCAAACTGTCGGCATTCCTGGTGATAGCTATATCGGAACTACTGGCTTGAGGAGGGCCTTTTAATGGCGGCAGTGGCTGACATCGTCAGACTTCTCTTTGCATGGGAGTTTTGTCAATTGATATTCATAGTGTTTTAAAGGTAGTTTTCGCTATCTGTGCGCCTTTTGGATGAACTCTTTTGCCGTCAATGCATCGCTAAATTGAAAGAGTACGGGATAGCTTTTACGCTGGACGTTCTTACGGAGACTTGTACATTTGCACTGAGCGTCTACCATATTACTAGCTTTAAGCAAGATTTTTTGCATTGTTTCTACCAGCATTTTATCGGGTAACGTGAAAGCCACTGCGTTTTTAGAACATCTTATTCTTCTAAACACTTCTGCTGCAACAACATCAACGAAATTACCGTATGGTTTTAAATAAGTTCTGTAGTTGCTGACGAAGTGGGCATCTGCTTAAGTTAATGCCATCAAATTTTGAATGACAAACTTAAGTTGCACCGTGCCAGTGGAAAATTCGTGCCGTGTTTGTTGACTGACGATCAGTAACAGAACCGTGTTGAAATCAGCAAAGAACTGCTTGCCACTGCCAGTGACAACTTCCATAAGAACATCCTAGCAGGCGATGAGACGTGGCTTTATGGCTAGGATATTGAAATGAAGGTGTAATCGTCGCAATGAATGGGGAAAGGGTCTCCTCGTCCATAAAAGCGCGCATGAGTCGAGCAAAGATCAAGGTAATGTTTGTTGTGTTCAAAAGAACTCACCGCAAGAACACCGCAAAAGCATTGTCCATCATGGATTCGTTCCACGTGGTCAGTTAGTAAACCAGGAAGTCTACCATACACTTTTAGCGCGTTTGAGGGATGCTGTGCGCAAGAAGAGGCCTGGACTGTGGTAAAACCGGACTTCGATGTTCCATAATGACAATGCACCGACTCACGCATCGCTCCTTGTCCACAGCTATCTAGCAAATCATTACACTCCCGTTGTGCACCCTCCATCATATTCTCCTTACCTAGCCCCAGCAGACTTTTTCCCAAACTTAGAACCACGTTGTGAGAACATCGTTACCAAACCATAGGGGAGGTTCAGGACAATGCGACAAAAACCTGCGCGCCGTTCCAGAAAGTGCGTTCCAGGTTTTCAAAATAATCGAAACATCTTTTGGAACGGTGTATTGCCAGTACAGGGGACTACTTTGAGGGGGAAAGGGATTAAATGTGCAATGAGTAGTAAAGATGTGAATAGCAAATGTTCGGTTTCTTTTTCATCACACTTCGCATCTACTTGACCCCAGAATATCTCATTATTAAAAATGTATATAAATGAATGTGACAGGCTTAACGCTTTTCTAACACAAAGTTGATCCTGTTCACTTCGTCTGTTGACTCATGGATTTTCTCTTGTTTTCATTTTACCTCCTATCCAGTTGGTTCAATCGGAAGAGCTTGGCCCGAATCTAGTTATCGGTCTCTTGAGGACTGCGATGACTCGGCGGTCTTCTCGCTCTTCTTCTTTACCAACTCCTTTTGAAACCGAACTCGGAACTCTGCGCTCACCTATCCCACGTGGAGCATTTGCTTGGTCCCTATCAGGAGGAATGCAAACGTTGATTGATGCCTTAGTCCAGAGGTTGCATCTTCTTGATCCCATGATTTCTTTGCAGCTGAATTCTTCAGCCCAGCGCATCATACGATCTACGCACCGTTTTGCCGTTCAATGCACTCAACATTCGAGTGATGAACTCACCATACTCCCTGATGTCGACGCTATTTTCCTTTGTTGCCCTTCCTACAAATCAGCTGAACTGTTACGTGAACTTGTTCCATATGAGATCGCTACGCGCCTGCAGAAGTCTCACTTACCCTGGGCTAGTGTCGCTGTTTCTGTATTGGAGTTAGACTGTTCATCTTCGCAGTCTTTCGTTCGGGGCTTTGGCCACTTGGTCCCACGCTTAGTAGACCCTTATGCTTTGGGTATAGTTTACGATTCGGTCGCGTTCCCACAATTGGATGGTCCTCATCACTGTGCTCGGTACACTGTAATGATGAAGCCACGATCCGAATGGCTGATCACCAAACCACCTTCTTTGGAACAAATAATTCTATCCGAATCGCTGACAATTCTTAAGCGGCACTTGAAGTTAGATAATGTGGCCTTAGTTGGTCACCGGTCTTCTTTATTTCCTGACTGTATTCCGCAGTATCCAGTCGGTCATCTCGACAACATTTCATCTGTTAGATCAGTTCTCCGATCTCTCACAACTGAAGACTGCGCTCGTACTGGCGGAATACATCTTGTTGGGTTCTCTTATGACGGTGTTAGTCTGGGTGATGCGGTGTCCAGCGCATTGAAAGCTGTCGTTTCAACGCTTAGTGCTGACAGCAGTTAATACGGGTTCTTTGAATGCGACCATTTTTATACTGCTTACATGCACACATGACAAGCTTCTTATAGCATGTGGAATCGTACATGCTCTCTTGGACAGTTTTCTGTGACCCCTTATTTCCGTGATGTTCAGTTTGCGATCTGTTGACGATCACTTCTTGTGAGCTTTTTATCATTTATCGAATCCAACTTTTCTGCTTCTTCACTCTTGTTTATTTTCGACCAACTTAGCATTGGTTGATGTAATGTACCTCAGTTCGGTAATAAGGCTGAAATGCTCCACACATATCACGACAGCATTCAGAAGCAGCACATTATCAATTTGTACTGATACATTGCTGTCGTCAGCCAGAATAACATACGGAATGAAGAGTAATACGATATGGAAAAGACAGATACTATGTTATGTTTAAACACCAGGCAAGTACTCATTTTTAAGTCGCCTACACTTGTTGACAACATACTGTCAAAAACCACTGTCTGTTATGCGAGGATAAGGTGGAATCAGCTGGACAGCTTCCTGGTAACCCTCACTGCCTCGTTGCCATCAGCCTCACTCCACAGACAACTCAGCACCATAGGTAATTTAAACATGGTCCGACTAGGAGACGACAACATGCGCAACTTGTGCCGACTATGGACCCTGTTCATTATGATCCTGAGCCAAGCTCAATTTGGGTCGCATACATACCAACCAGGAAGGCGAAATGTACCAGTGACAGCCAGTATATTCGTCAGTGACTTTATTTCACGTTACCAAGTTAATCTTTGCCCAAGTCAAGGTTTGCGTCATCCAATATCCAGCACACAAAAGGCTTTGCTCATTAAATGGCGACCGGACACACGTAGCACGTTGGAAGCTACTTGGACTACTGTTAGCTCGGGAGAATTGTCAAGTTGTGCTGTTCGCGGTGCTGAGCGATTTAATTTCAAACGTTTTATCAACATTCGAGTTGAAACTATCCTCCTTGGGCTTGACTTCCAACGCGATCACTCAAACAAAGTTCATCATCATCGACAGCAGTACAGCAGCCATTTGCACTGGTGCTTCGCTACCGTACAACCATGGTGACCTGCGGAACGAAAAATAATAACAGGTCGAGGAGTTGCACCTAGCGTAAAACCTTAATGCTGTAAGCAAGCACTCAGGGTCTAGGCACTTACACTTTGTAAACAAGGTTTTGTCAAACAACTGGCTATCATGGACGATAAGGCGGCATCGGCGAGGCAAATTCCTTGCGGCCTTTACTGTTCCGCGTCATAACCAGCCATTAGCTCATCATCATCACCATCACCAACATCATCATCCAACAACAGTACATCAGCTGTTTGAACTGATCCTTCGCTGCCATACAACCATGAGGACCTATGAAATAAAAAAAGAAGAGAGAAAGAAGGAGGACTTACCTGAAAAAGCTTAATGCTCTGAGCAAACATTCCGGGTCAAGGCGCCTACACCTTGTGTAGACAACAGACCGTCGCAAACAGCTAGCTATCGTGCAAAGATAAGGCAGCATCGACGAGACAGTTTCCTTGCGGCTTTCACTGCCCCGCGTCGTAATCAGCCATCACCCCGCAGATAACTCAGCACCAAACACACTTTAAACGGACAATCCGATTAGGAGACGACAGCAGACGCGCCACTGGTGTCTGTTGCGAGCCATGTCCTGTAAAGTCTCGAGCCAAGCAAAAGGCGAGTCACGTGGACTCCAGCCCGGAAGGCCAGACGGTCCAACGGCACCCAGTTTGGTCGTCAGTGACTTCATTTCCCGCAGCCAAGTCAACTTCTGTCCACCTCGAGCCTTGCGCCATCCTACACCTGGTAGACTGAACAAGGCCCTCCTAGGTAAGCGGTGACCAGGCATGCGTAGCACGTGCCCGAGCCAACGCAACTTATTCAGTGCTATCTGTTGTTCTAGGGAGCTAGCATGATCATCACCACCTAGTACTCGCCTACACACATCATCGTTGCGGACACGCTGGTGCCATCCGACACCAGCAATGCTTCGCAGACAACGATGATCAAAGACTTGAAGGTGCCTCAGATATTCAGACCGAGGAGACCAGGTCTCACTCCCATAGAGCAGAACGGCCCTCACTGTGGCCTTGTATATCAGGCCTTTCAGACAGAGGGAAATTCCATTCTATCGCCAAAGATGCCGCAGGTTCAAGAAGGCAGCTCTGGCCTTTGCAATGCGTGAGCTGACGCCAATTTCTATGCGCCCATCGTTGCTGATGCAGCTGCCAAGATAAGTAACTTGATCAACCGCCTCAGATTCCTTGTTAGCAAGCGTCAAGGGGTCCTGCAGCAATGCTTTGCACTTTGAAGGGGCAAAGCGCATAACAAATAATGGGATCACTCTGGACAGGCTATTCAGGGTTGATTGTGCCGTCGCAACACGGTCGAAAAGCAAGACGATATCGTGCGCACAGTCATGATCAACTAACCTTTCACCAGGCAGCACTTCAACGCCTACATCGTGAGATTCCGCAAGGGAACACTCCATGATAGAATCCACGACGAAATGGAACAAAAATGGGGAAATCGGACAACCCTGACGAACGCTACTTGTGGTCGGAAAGCTATCCGATAGACCACCGTAGACCCTGACGCGGTTTGTAGTGTTCGAGTATAGAGCACGTAGCATGTTCACATATTTCGTGGGAACACATTTCCGCGCAAGAATTTCGGACAGAATGCATCGAACAACTGAATCGAACGCATTATGGAAATTAAGGAACACAGTTAATGTCGGTCTGCGGTATGCGTGGCGCTGCACTAGCTCCTGCCACAAAGTGAATATATGGTCTATACAGTCACGCCCTGGGCGGAAACCTGCTTGCTCTTCCCTAATCCGAGATTGCCGTTCCACAGTGAGGCGACGAACGAGAATCGATGCCAGTAATTTTGTCACAACTGGCGTTAGGCTAATACCCCTCTGGTCAGAATAGTCTGTGCGACTGCTCTTCTTGAATATTGCCATTATAATCGATTCGCTCCAACTAGCCAGGACACTTTTCATTCCAGATCCTTTCGAATAGGGAAGTCGGTGCTGTGCAGAGTACCTCACCTCCATCCTTAAATAGTGCAGGTGGGACAGAATCTGGGCCAGCGGCGCGAGAGCGATTGAGGGCTGTGATCGCGTTTCGGACTTCGGCCTCCGACGAGGGCTATAACACACACAACGCATATACACGTTAGCTGGAGGGGGGAAACACCTCAGATACTGTGCCGCAATACCTAAATGAAATGAACGGAATCAAATGCTACATGTGCAAGTCAGCTGGGCTACCCGTAACGGATGGACATCGTTCCGGTAAACTATCTGCCGGCTAGTATGCAGCAGAAAAAGTAATTTCCTATGCAAAATTATAAAATCTTAAATTATGAGATCATGGTTGTCAGGCGGCTGAGAGGGATGGGGTGGGATAAAGAAACTCACAACACGAATGCCACTGAGGTCAGCTCCTAGCCATATCAACATGTGTATCCAGCCAAAGGTGTTCATCGTCTTTCGAACCCCAACCAGGGAGCCGAGACGCTCCAACTGAGATCAGCTTCGTAGTGAGGGCCTTCATTCCTCTCGACCAAGTCATCGCTTGGCCACCTCTACTTTTCTTCCATCCACACCCCCGACGTGCAAACAACGCATGCCGCGATAGTCGGTGGACTGGCATGCCTAACACGTGGCCGAGCCATCGGAGCCTGGTGTATGAAATAACGGTGCTGAGCGGTTTATTTCTTTTTCCTGTGTCGTAAACAAGGCGTCAAACACGCTCGTTGCTCACTCGGTGTTCTCACCAGATGTGAGCTAAATTGCGAAGGCACCGGTCGTCGAACGTAACTAGACTCTTCAGGTCCGCTGCTCTAAGCGGCCAGGTTTCACAACCGTACAGTAGGGTCGAATGTACCGCTGCATTGTACACTCTACCTTTCAGGGCGAGAGTGATGCCGCGCCGGCGCCATAAGTAACGAAGCTTAGCAAAAACGCCTCGAACGTTTGCTACACGGTCCGTGATCTCATCTTCAATCCCACGGACGCTGATACAACTTCCCAGGAGGATGAATTTTTGAACGACTTCTAGCTGGTCGTCGCCAAGGGTCAGCGAAGGAGGCGCTTGAGGAAGCGCTTTGCACTTCGGCGGTGAGAAGCAAAGCCCGAAGTGACTTACAGCCAGTGCTAATCTGTCCAGTGCCACATGGCACGTTTGTGAGCTGTCACAGATTAGGGCAATATCGTCAGCATACTCCAAGTCAAGAAGTCGTTCTCCTAGGAGTAGCTCCATACCTTCCTAGTCGTGTCCTGTGAACGCGATTTCCATGACTTCGTTAATAGCGAAGTGGAAGAGGAAAGGTGACAGCGGGCATCCTTGTTTCACATCGCTGGATATTAAAGGGCGACGACAGCTTGCCGTAAGCCCTCACTCTGCCTGAGCTACGCGTGTATAATGCTCGGATAATATTTACATATTCCTCAGGTACACCTTTCCTTAGTAGACAGTCCCAAAGTGTACATCTATCCACCGAATCGAATACACCTTTTATATCGAGGAACACGACTACAGTGGGCCGCCAATATGTGTGACGGTGCTCCACCAACTGACGCAAAGTGAAGATGTGGTCAATGCAGCCACGACCTCGACGAGACCCGGCTTGCTCTTCACGAATCTGCCAGTCAGTCTGTGAAGGATGACAGAGGCAAGCAATTTGAAAGCGATTGATAATAGTCTGATTCCTCTATGGTGGCCGCATTCCGATCGTGAGTCTCCCTTGCAAATTGGGACTATGACGGAGCGGCTGTAGTCGGTTGGGACAGTTTCCTGCTCCCCACAGTTTTACTAGTAACTCGTAGAAGTCATCCGCAAGAGCAGGTCTCCCGAATTTGAAGAGGGCTGAAGGAAAATCGTCTTATCCCGCGGCTTTATATCAACAGTACGATCTTACGTTCGACTTCGGAGTGAGAGGGTGGATTCGAAAGGACAGCCCAGGGAGCGTGGTGACTAGTGGCCGGCGTGAAATCTAACAATTCCGACCGATTAAATTACTTTTCAAAGTGCTCAGCGTAACGTTCCAAGCGTTTTGACAAGTTGTAGATAGGCTGTCCGCTCTCGTCAGAGATTGTTTCACTAACACCAGGTCTTCTGCTGCCCGTTTCCCGTATCAGCCGGATTGACTTACAATGGTTACCAAGGACAGCGGCCATT